GAAGGGAAGGGAAGGGTGCGGACCCGCCTGAGTTGCGCTTCTCCTTGGCAGGTCCCAGCTCGTCTTTAAACCCACCGGGCGATCCTTGGAGCACCGCCGCGATGCCCAGGGAAGACAGGGCTACGTGGAAGTCCAACTATTTCATGAAAATCATCGTGAGTGTCCGCGCGGCCTCGGAAGGCTGAGGCCCGGCAATCCCGGCCCGCAGGGAGCGGCCTTGGCTCTGCTCGGCGCAGCGGGAATCGCGCTGGCGTGTCTGCGAGGGGGGCTTTTTATAAAAGACATGGAGTGCCATAGGTTGTCTGTTTAAGGAACGATTATGTGGCAATAGGAAGAGATTAAGGTAGTCCAGATCAGGCCGTTTTTAAGGCTCCTATGAGAATTTGCTGTGGTAGTTGCAGAGATAACTTGCTTAGGGATCTAACTAGATAGCAGAGTGAAGGGTGTAGCCTTGGGGGCCACCCAAGGTAAGTTTGAACTGAGTGCTCTAAAACTTCTGACAGATTTTTTTTTTTACATTTTTAACGTGTTGGGGTTTTAATGCTGTTCTGTGTGCTGGTCTAGATATCTTTGTATAGTTACAGTCTTTTTCTTGGTATAGCAACTCCTGGATGATTACCCAAAATGCTTCATTGTGGGAGCAGACAATGTGGGATCAAAGCAGATGCAGCAAATCCGTATGTCCCTGCGTGGGAAGGCTGTTGTGCTGATGGGGAAGAATACGATGATGCGCAAAGCTATTCGTGGTCACCTGGAGAATAACCCTGCCTTAGAAAAGTGGGTAACGCTGTCTGAATGTACTCGTGGATCCTGTGTCCGGGAGGAGGAGATGTTGTCTGAGAAACAGAACTGAAGGCTGTCATCTTTCCTTCAGGCTGCTGCCTCATATCCGTGGGAACGTGGGCTTTGTCTTCACCAAGGAGGATCTGACTGAGATCAGGGACATGCTGCTGGCTAACAAGGTAGGGGAGATCGGCCCTTGCCATGTCTTGGCCTGGCAGATATGGAATTAAACATAAAACTGAAAGTGCATGTGGGTTACTTGATTATTAGGAGTCTTCAAGGGTTGGGAACTAGGCCCCTGCAGCCCTAGCCAGACTGCTCAAATTCAACTTCGGTCTCACTTGTGTGTGCCTGGGTGGTGTCGATCCTGGAGGAACGCTTCAGGAGGGAGTTGATGCCATCCCACGAGATCTGAGAGGTGAGCATTCTTCTAGCTTCTCGTTTTCCCTTTCTTCAGGTGCCAGCAGCTGCCCGTGCCGGTGCTATTGCTCCTTGTGATGTGACTGTGCCAGCCCAGAACACTGGTCTTGGACCTGAGAAGACCTCCTTTTTCCAGGCCTTGGGCATCACCACGAAGATTTCCAGAGGGACCATCGAAATTCTGGTTAGTGAGCAGCTTGCTACTGTTGTTGAAGCTCTTACTTCACTGGAGAGCCCCAATTATGGCAGTTCAGGAAGCTGTAAAGATCAAAAAAAGCATTATCTGAGATTTACCTGCTTGCATGGTCTAGGGCTTTCTCAACTTGTGGAGCTGAACTTGGACCCTGTGTTTTTGTTGTGCATGTTTGCTCCTTCAGGTCCATCTCTTGCCATTGGAAATGTGCATTTGTGTTCCATTGCATTGATGTGCCTGAATTTCTTTGCCCATATATATTCACTGCTTTTCCCCTTGTTTCCTCAGAGTGATGTGCAGCTCATCAAGACTGGAGACAAAGTGGGTGCCAGCGAAGCCACCCTTCTGAACATGCTGAATATCTCCCCCTTCTCTTTCGGGTTGGTGATCCAGCAGGTCTTTGACAATGGCAGCATTTACAATCCCGAAGTGCTGGACATCACCGAGGAGACCTTGCACAAGCGCTTCCTGGAGGTGAGTGCCACAGCTTGTATCAGTTACATTCCACCTCTGCCTCACTGCTGTGGTAGCCAACACTGCTCAGAATGAAATATCCCTGGTATTTTCTGTGGGGTCCTGCAGAGCCAGTCTGCAGAAACTGTCAGGGAGCATCTTCTGTAGGCTTTTTCATCTGAAGCTACTTTAGAAAGCATTTGAGGCTGTTTAAATCCTTGTCTCATTTCACTGGAGCTGTGTTACTTGTGTGCATTGCATGCGATGTAGAAATGTGCTACCATCTGCCGTGGTTTCTAGTCCTGGTTATTTCTCAGAGCACAGAAACATGAGTCTCTCTCCTCACAGGGTGTCCGTAACGTTGCCAGCGTCTGTCTGCAAATTGGGTACCCAACCATTGCTTCTGTGCCCCATTCCATCGTCAATGGGTACAAGCGGGTCCTGGCCGTGGCGGTGGAGACTGACTACACTTTCCCACTGGCTGAAAAGGTAATGGCTGAGCATCTGCTGCCCAGCAGGGTGTCAGAAACACCAGGCACTTCCACAGAAACGCCTTGCACATCACCTCCTCTGAAAGGACTCGGACCCGCCTGTGTGCGAGGGACCTGTCTGGAGAAGGGGCGTTTGCTTCCATTCATTGTGTACACTATTGCACTTGAGTGTAGCTGAAATGTCCTTCACACGTGGTGGTGATAAGTGCCTCTGTTTGGCTTCTTGCAAGCTGCAAGCGTTGCCTTTATGATTGTGAAGGTTCAAACCTTCAAAATGTTTGTTTCTTTTGAGTTCACGGTTTCCTTCCCCTTTTGCAGGTGAAGGCCTTCCTGGCAGACCCCTCTGCTTTTGTGGCAGCCGTCCCTGTGGTAGCCGAAACGGCTGCACCCCTGCTGCCGCTCCGGCAAAAGAGGCGGCGAAGGAGGAATCGGAGGAGTCTGACGAGGACATGGGCTTTGGTCTCTTTGACTAACAGGAGCCACCGTCTGCCTGTTTGTATCACAGTTGGTCCAATTGGAGAAATAAAAAGCTATTTTACACGTTCGTGTGTGCCTACATCGATGGCGTGGTCTCCGCTTCACCGGGGGCTGGGGGAGAGGGTGGCAGGTGGGGGAGGAGGGCCGGCTGCTCCGGGCGGTGCCGGCGGACCCGCTGCTCCGTTCCGTTCGCCCGCGATG